GATTCTGTGGATTGTGGAACCTTATTAGTATCCTCACCACTTAGATTAATATTCACAAAGGTACCAAAAGTGCAACAGTGGAAATATACAGGCACACGTGTATATACATAGAGAACTGTATTTTATTCAGCATATGGGGTTCCAGTGGCACTCTCATTGCTTCCCGGGTCTCTGGACCATGCTTGAGGTTTTTTGATGCTGTGAGGGTGAAGTTGAAATTGGCCAGATTCTACAAAAATCAAATGCAGCTGCTTCCTCATCTGCCTTGAATATTCCCATAGATATCTAGATATAATCGATGATTCTGGGCAGGACTGAGCTCTCACGTTAAGTACACATGGCTACGCCTTGGCAGAGCGATAGAGTGCTGGGTAGTTAGTTAGCAGCAATGGCGTGAAATGGAGCAAAGGAGATTTCAAAGCAGTACCACTGAAAATTTCCTGGCAGCGAGTACAGCTGCATGTGGAATTGGCTCAAGCCACGGCTGTCCCTGGGAGCTGAAGTCTCTGCAGGCAGGCAGGATTAACTAGGTCAACAATTACCTAAAAGATCTGTTCAGCCCGCAATTTTTAGCACTTCAGAACTTCATAAACAGTTCTCGCAACATTCATTTCAAATCCTAATGGCTAATCCCTTAACAGCATCTCCAGGCCTTATTTTTGCTCTCATAAATGGTTACATGACCAAGGTTTTATTCAGTCTGGAGAGTAAGTGCTCACCATACAACCACTCTTGATTTCACACAACCTTATAAGGACTGTCGTTGCTATTTGTCTTTCTTTTCCTTCCCTTGCTAAAAAAATGTAGTCATCCATTGGAAAACTAAAACAGTAACATCTGACATAGGTAGCACAATACAAATAGTACAGCTAATAACTGAAATGAATAGATTTGCAAACACAGCTCAGAGGACATTTGTTCAGTTCCACTGCTTTGTAAGTACTAGAAAAAAGCTGGTCAAAGAATGGAAAAAAAGTCAGTTTTCAATTGTTAGTGGAGCTTTAGTCATTGTTTCTGCAATACGTATTGCTAGATATTTGCTTTATGTATATTGAGTATTTGCAAGCCTTTCAGAGTGTTTCCAAGTGTGTTTTTTTTTCAACTATATCCTACACTTAAGAAAGGAATCATCTGGAATTTGAAAATTCTTACCAGCAGATGTACAACTGCATCAGAAAGATTCATATATCCAGTTTAGTCAGGGAAAATCTACAACACGATCACATCAAAAAAGCCGACAAATTAAGATCATGATATTTCCACTCATAACATAGGACTTCAGCACCCAGAAATCCTTCTATGCTTATCTTGGAGAGAACAACCAAAGATTATGCAATAGTAACGCTATTGCCATTTTTGTAGACATTCATCTGCCACAGGATGGAGATTAAGGGAACTATTCATATGGCAATGATCCTGCAGGAGCTTATTACGATCTTCACAAATCGATGGTGAAATGTACTGTATTATAGTTGTCATTGCCTTCAGATGCCAGGACATTACTGCCTGTCTCAGAAATTCATAAACGTGGACATGATGGAAGATATGTGTCACATGCCTTTGCTCTCTGTCTCCAAAAAGGGTATGAATAAAAATCTACCATCAGTTTTACCTTAACTGACTCAGTGGGCATTTTGCCTTTGGTTATATTGCTTTCTTCTTTATGACTTGTTTTTTGATAAATGATGTCACTCTAAGTGTAAAGACCCTTTTCCCCTTTACAGAGGACTAAATAGCTCCTTTTAAAGTGAATGTTAAAACTCCCATTGACTATGAAATAAATGGTTTATGTTACATAATAATCTATTCGCGGTTGCTTTCCAAGCTTATTTCTTTCTCATGCAACTCCTCCATTAACACAGCCATTACACAAGCAATTTTTTTTCTTTTCTCCCTCAATAACACACAGTCAGTCTTGTCCTAAGGAGAATGAAAGTCTTCTCTGAATTTAACGTCACCATTATTCACAGCTTACAATAAAAAGCTGATTCTGAATCTTGTTCTGTGGTGAGCCTCTAATTCTTTTTTGGTGACTTCTAAGAGGTCTTCTTTTAGAAGTTGACCCCCTAGGTCTCATCTACACAAAATACAAAGATGTCATTTCAGCCTAGTTCTCAAACGTAAAGCACAACAAAGCACGACTGGAAGGAGAAGATCTGATAATGTTGTTAACTTCTTCAGGGGGCAGACATCAGATCTAATCCCCTCTCTGGAAATCACACCTATTTTTGCTTTGGTTTGCTGGGGCAGAAACCTAAAAGTGTATCTTACAAGCATGCCCAAACAAGATCGGAACTGGAAACTACAACCATTAATTATATGATTTTTGAATAAGCCGTTTGACACAAGGAACTGTTTTTCTCAGTGCTCTTGAGACTAATGATTAGGTTGTCGTAATGTGCAAGAAAAGATGAGTTTGCATGGTCACTAAATATATGTTTCTACATGTATACGCATTTGCATGTGAGCAAGATGCCCAATTTCTACATCTGAAAATGCTTTTTCAAAAATACCTAAGCAAAAGAATGCATTCAGTATGAATCTACAGACTTTCACAAAGGTATTGTTGCAGTCTATTGGGCAGCCTTGTTATTTAGGTAACGTTGCCAAAATTTGGGGCAAATTTGACTAAAAGGCCTATTTTTAATCAGCCTTTCAAAATTGTTAATTATCCCAATGGCCTCTTCCTTCAGTGACAGAGGGATTAATCTGCAAATCACACTGGTTAACGACACTGCTTTTATTTATACACAAATGCATGCACTTCTGTTCATTTAAGTGAAAAAGTTTGCCTGTGCCAGAGGACACGTCTACATGCAACAACGTAGCGCTCTGCATCTAGCTTCAAATGATGAAGTCTGGCACCAGAAACTGCCTCATTTCAAGACAAAGTGGAAATTTCTACACATTACTGCCCTGTTCCAATAGTCATACCAAAGGGTTTCCTTCCTCTCTTTTAACAGTGAATTTTTAGTTTTTCTTCTTCACTGCTCTGCTGCTATCTTACTGCATTTCAGGGATGGTGAAAGCAGTTCCTGCATCTCAAAAATCACAAAGCATTTTAGAAGGGTGGTTTTGGGAACAGAAGTTCCTATACACGCAACAATGTAAAATTTTATTATTAATGCTTTAATAAAATAAAGATAATTATTGAATTCACTTGTACTACAAACAGTCTAGTCCTACTCTTTCAGCAAAATTAAAGTTTGGCTGCCTCAATTCTTTTTTGAAGACACATTTTATCAGTGTTTATAGCCCCATACATTGTCTCCCTGACAGATGCTTTTTCTTCTCCTCCAAAAGTATGCAGTCTGTCAACCAAGCAACTTTTCATCAAGCAACTGAAATAATTTTGTCAGCACACTGTTTTACTTTTTCTCATTTTTACTTTAAGCCTCTAAAAGCGTCCTGTCATGTACCTACAGTACTTTGTCTACCTATTTCATCAAAAAAATACTACTTTCAGTTGTAAATATTTCAGAAAAGATCACAATTTTTATTGTTTGATTCTGCTATTTTAAGGCTATTTCTGTTAGAGAGAGTCATATTTCACAAAAAGGATGCTAGTTTCTTTTATCAAGCTCCTGAATTTGTATTTGATGTACAAAGCAAGCTGGTATACTTAAAAGTAAATATTTACCATGCTGCTGCAAAATTAACTGTGCGGTAGTGCTCACATATTTAAAACAGTACAGTAAAACATTTTAGCAGTGCACTGGTAAATGTGTATTGAATAAAATAATAAAAATAAATAATAAATAATCACAGTGATTTAAAAAACTTCACAAGCTCAGTTTCTTTTTGAGTATTAAGCAACTTTAGAATAGCCCACAGTTCTTAGGATAATAAATATCCTGTTGTCTTTTTAGAAGTGTATCTGACACCCACGAACGCCCTCAGCACTGCACTGCCCCCAGCACAGCAAGCTTGACTTGATTTCTCAACTAAGTCAGTGCAGCTGCCTGGAAATTCTTTGGCAGTTAGGTATATGTTTTTAAAATATCGATTTCGCTGCATGGAAATAGGAAAAATGATGTCAAAACTCTCTTCTTTGCGGTTCTCATTGGTGTTAAATGAAAGTATCTAGGCTTTGAAGTATCTGTCAAAATCAAAACCACAACTGCCATTTTTCTTTTTGCTACTTCTGATGGCTAAGGGCGCCCATACGCCTTCAGTCACCCAGTGAAGTCAACGGATGAAATCTGCTGGATGTCTAACTGCAGCTTAGAATAAAAACAGAGAAATCTCAAATATGGCCTTCCACTAAAAATACCTGCAAAACAGAATACTGCATAAAAACTATACATTTAGAAATAGGATGTCAGATATCTATTTCTCTGCAGGTTTGTACTCTTTATTTAAGCACTGGCAAGATCAAATTCAAGGAAGGGCCTTTAGAAGCTATCTTTACTTTTCTTAAAACATAATCAATTCTGCCCTCAACTTGAGTATCATTTGTCCCAGTGCTTATCTGGATTTCAAAAGAAACTCTAAATTCATATTCATTTAGTGAAGGAAAACATCTGAAAAACGTGTTATGTATTTAGAGAATCTGAGCTGCCTTGATAGAATTCTTATGTATTTGCTCTAATTTTATCTTTAATACTAAGCAATGAATTATATCTTGTTTCCCAGTTGTTCCCCTCAAGACCCAACGTGACATTTCTCTGAACACTATCTTTTCCTGAACTGGCCTGTTCAGGCTAACACAACAATAGTCAAAGTTTTCTATAAAAGCAACCATAAGGATCAAAAAATCCAACTTCAAAGCAGCATCGTTGTGGATTCCAGTGCTGCCTCTCCCACAGAAGAGCTAACTAGCAACTTGGAGCTAAGGCTACAATAAATATTTCATGAGGCCCTGGGCAATATAATTAGCAATCAGGGAACATCTTTATCTATTTAAGCAAAGAGTACTTGAGTTTTAGATTTAATCTGAGATGTAAAGACAGTTTTATTAAGAAATAATAAAAAAGAGGGATAATGATGGAAAAACTTACAGTAAGAGCAGCCATAGACCTCAATTCTCAGCCCGATTTGGCCCTCTCCGTTCCAGTCCAAAGGAACTATACGTACATAGCGAGCGATAACTGGGTGTTGTAAATCATGTCGGACCACACTATCTGAATTTGTGTTTCCAGGAAATGCCTATGGGAAAGAAAAATAAAATGATTGTATTACTTCTATCTCACATACTAAAAACATTTCCTGCAATGAAGGAAAACAGAAGGTACTGAAGTCTTCTGAGCACCTAGGTTATGGTAACGTTTGTTTCAAATCTTTCTTTGCTAGTGAGCAAATGAGCAGTCAGTTTAGGACTGGTGTCCACAGGAATACCAAACTGACAGCACTGGGACCTCTTTCTCCACAACAGATACGTTGAATTCATGGAAAAGCTGCTGCGAGGTAAGAAAGCAATCCATTCTGCGCCACTAATCTGTGACACAGTTACTACAAGGTTAAAAAAGGTGTCCCATCCAGAGCAGTTGTTCTACGGAAGAAAAACAACATTGTCAAACAATTAGATTACGTGCTCCAGTCATTTCCCTAGACGTGCTCCCACTGGAAGCACTGAAATAACCTGATACCTACAATAGACATGAAACCCCCTCAACGTCTGAAATTTCCAAGAGCTCCAAAATCTTCCTTTATTTTTGATTTATTTCCCACTGGAAACTGGGTATCTGATTTCTGTCGCAACCATAGTTGTCACCCATAGCAAAACTTATTTTGGGTTAATAAAACTTTGGAAGTCAGGAAAGGGCACAACAATTCTCCAGTGAGTTAACATAATAGATTTTTTTTCCCTCTAGTCAGCTTGTGGACAATCCATTCGTTCACTGACAGAAGATGTTAAAAATAAGACTTAGACTTCCACCTAACAAACTGTTGCTCATTCAGTTAGCCTCAATATTTTCAGAGGAACTTTCACACCTCTTCACAGATAATTTTCAAAAAAAATTAGTGTCTTGGGATAGTGAACAGAGTAATCATGAATGAACAGAGAAAAGCTGACCCACTGCTAGAGAGACTCTGAAAATAATCACTTTGTGCATTCTAAAAAAATGATGCTTTAGCTACAGAAAAGAAATGGAGGCAAAGAGTCACTAGTAGTATCTACGCTTTTACCATCTGAATATATCCAAGTAAACTCCAGTAATACACTCCAGTATACACGGAAACTAAAAATGAATGTAGGAACAGCTGAGTTGTAAGGAATATTACTGCAAAATCAAGTTATCAAAAATTTGAGAAAAAGATAAAATTTAAGTTGTTCTTTTGCACACAGTTACATCTATTTTTAATTATGTGTCTAGATACTAATTATTCCTCAAGAGTATCCTCAATGAATACCTATTTTGCTTAGTATGCAGTAGAGCTGGCTCATGGTTTAAAAAAAAAAAAAAAAAAGGAAGATCCACAGGATCCCTTCCTTGCTTACCTGAAAAAGTGACATATAATAATGACTACTTTCTCCTCAGTTCTTCTGTAGCGCAGCTATTCACATGCTAAATGATGCCACCCCTCACATCATTGCGCAACTCTTAAAATACATTAATTAATGTCTACGAAGCACTTAAATATTAGAGTGATAAGTGTTTATGAGGAAATTAATAGTTCTGTCTTCTGAGCTGAGATGGAGAGCATACAAGTACCACAAAGGAGATCAGACACTGCACAATGAGGAGAAAAAAATCCTATTGAACAGCTGTTGGTACTCCAAGTCCTGTTCTAGGAAACAGAACTCTATGCAGTGAATAATGAAGTCAATCTACAGAAAAAAATAGCTTGTGAGCATACAGCGTAATGCTCCATATTATAGGACCAATCTCTGTTTGGGCACGTCCTAAATTTTTAATCCGTCGTGCAACCTTATCAAAACTCTCTTAACGTAGGACTTTCAATTCATTAGAAGTATTAGGGTCAAGGAAGAATAGAGGAGGGCATGATATTTTGTGTATCATTTTATCATTTGATTAAATGATTGATAAAGATTGATTCTTAAAATAAGAATGATTTCCTGCAGCTCTTCAAACTTTGTGCTCTGACATACAGTTTACTTTTTTTTTTTGGGGGGGGGGGGAGGAAAAAGAAAGATTTAGGGCTAGACCAGCAAATGTTTGATATTTTGAGGAGTGCTATTGATATAAGATCGAGTAACAATTGCTGGATGAGATGCATATGCACAGGTAGTAGAGAATAAGGCAGCCTGGGGTTGTCGTCAGTTTCCTAGATAATTAAAATGCATTTTATTTAGTTTCCAGCAGAACAATATCCTTTTAAATGCAGCCTTCATTCAGATAAATGTGGTACAGTAATACACACTCTGTGGATAATGCAAACATCAGACCAAAATCCATCATTGCAAGGCTGAAAAATCAATTTACAGGAGCTTGTGAATTATGCACTATTGCTGTTAAATCTCCTTTTCTGACTAAGATTTGTGCATGGGCTCAGAAAGGCAGGTTTTCATTAAAAATTGAGTTTATACAATTTGCAAAGCCACATGTTTGCCAAGGTTAACAAACAGTTTAATAAGATTTAAAAGTATAATTTAGATCCACATTAGAGCAGAGAATTTTTTAAAAGGGCATAAGTCCCTGACTGTAAAATACAGAAATGCACAACAACAAATCCCCTTAACAAAACTGTTTTTCAGGAAAAGGTGGAAATACCTCTATAAACTAAACAAGCTGTCCAGGTTATTAATCTCATAAACTCGCTGAAGTAATATAGCCAGGAACGTGCTCTTCATGGGAAATACAGTTTTTCTTCAACCCAAAGAGGGAAAATGACTAAGATGGCTCACTTGTCTGTAAGATAAGTAGCACTGCCTCATCAGTCCATCTCCTGAATACTCTATTCTACAACCTATTTCTCTTCTTAGATCCAAACTACTTTAAGCTGCTTTATGTTTCAGCTCACGTTGCAGTGAAGAGATTGGGAATGGTGCGAGTCGCAACCGCTTTTCCTACAGACGGTCCTCTGCAGGTAATAAGAACGAAGAGCAAGAAAACATGGCTTTAAATCACGCATTTCAAACACTCTGGTTTGATCATATTTTGCGTGGAGTTCTCAGACATACTCACCGAGAGATTTACCGCTGACTTCCTTGGGAATAAAATCTGATCAGCTCCAAGGATTTTTCAAAAATTGTTAGGATATGTTTATAGGGATAGAAAATATCTTTTAATAGGCCAACTAATTAAGTTCAAAAAAACAGACAAGCTTTTGGCACAGGAGCTCTCTTCGGCCTAAGATGCAGCAAAAAAATGCTGTACGGTCTTTGAAATTCACTTTGACTTTATCAATATGCTTCCACAATACTACCATACATATAGGCATAGTAAAGACAGTCCATAAAATTTCTTGGCATAAACATAAAAAAACAAGGGGTGAAAGTAAGTTTTACTGAAGTTTGGAAGCAAAGCTAGGGAAAGTTAAGATTCAGACTGGATTTTATTTGCGGTACTTACAACACAATGTTATTCTAATTAATAATTATAAATGCTAAAGCTACATTACATATTTAAAGTAAAATGTCATATAGCGCACATCTCAAGAACGTTATTTAAGTTAGTCCCTCAAAAAACTGTTTAGTTTTCTTGAGAGAACAATTTTGCACTGCTGTTCAGTATCCTACTTTATGTGTACAAGTCGATTAAGAAACTTGATTTTGAGAAAAATACTTTTACTATAAAGGATTAAAAAGAAAATTCTCAGCACTGCAAAATTGCCTCTGCAAGCAAGAGGCTCAAGATTGAATGAGAAGCAATGTCGGAAGTGAACAAAAGAGGAAGTTTTCTTAGTTTAGTCATCGAGGTAAAGAATAGAAGAACTTTGGCCAGATACTCAACCAAATGAACAGTAAGATGTTTACAATTTTTAAACTTTTAGTGAAGTAAAAAAGAAACCTGCATTTCACTTTAAAAACCTACCAATTCATCTTCTGCCCCACATATGCCACAGAACGTAATTTGCTTCAGGTGCAAATTAATTTTTCATTCGACTTAATTAATTCAGTGAAGAATTTCCATCCAAATTAATGACTTATTTGGAGACAAATATTAAAACTACTTCAATGTATGCTCTTTCTATGGTGATGTAGAAGGAGGGTAATGCATGCATGATATTTCTTTTCCATTAAAACAGGAAGAAGGACAATTTCTTTCAAGGTAATCTTTTTTCATTAGTTTAATTATATACTTACTATTCTATTTTTTGACAGCTATGCTTCATCATTGACATTTTAAACACAGGAGGGAATACTTTAGAGATCTGAACTAATGAAAAAAATCTAATATTCTAGCTGCATTTTGATACAGCAATAGTGAAAACACTATAAAGAGTCTATATTCCATGATATTGTAGCTCCATAAATGATTCTTGTACTCAGAAACAGGGCTTGTATACAGAACCAACATTTAAAAGGTATGAAGTTTTGAAATATAAGAACGTCCATAGGCTGATACAGCTGTTTTTTCTTTGATGATCCCAAGGAGAGGTAAGCATAGAACTGGTTAAACCTTAAAATTTTTAAAGAAAATCCCCAATGTTCCAAAACATTTCCAGTTTCCAAAACAAATGCTGTTCCAAATACCAGACTGATTACAAATTTGACAAGTTGACTGGTTTGGGGATGGCCTTCTGCCTGCATGGCAAAGGAAATGTGGAAAACCTTGCTCTTTACTTGAGCTCTCCAGACTTATGTCCCATCGAGGTGTTGGGAGCTCTCAGTCGATGGCACTGTGGAAGGGCAATCCACAGGGTCCTGCGGCAGGTGACTGAAATTCTGGATTACGCTTCAGTAAAACCAAGATGTTTTAGCAAAGCGTTCATGTTTCACTGCATCAGCATTTTCCAAGAAAAGGTAACTTCATTAGAAAAATGAGTCAGGCTCTAGTTAAGCACCTTACAGCTGCTGAAACACTTCTCTGCTGGATACCTTTGAAAATCCAGCCCAAAAACACAAGGTAAACTGAAATAGCAAGACTAAAAGGACTGGAAAACAGAAAATGTTATGAAATTAATTTCAGGGAGGAAGGGAAAAAGAAGAGGAGAAAGCAACACCTGGTAAGAAAACTAGCTGCAGAGAAAAATAGCAAATAAATTGAAAAAAAGAAAGGAATGAGTCAGAAAGTCACTGA